TACTCAGCTGTTTAGAGAGACATAACTAAGGGATAAAAGTAAAAGAGGGTGCTTGCGCAGTGATACTCTGGGAGAAGCCTTTCATTTCACATTTCAAGATCTCTAAGAGAAAAATGAAGTACGAGATCACTTCTTACTGCTTGATTCCATTACAGACATATTCTGGGCTGTTTTGTGTGGTTGTAAATCCATATAAACGACTTCCGATCTATACTGATTCCATCGCTGAACAATACAAGGTCAGTGTCATTGACAGTTATTGTGTGGGAGAAACAAGCCTTCTATGTAAGCACTGTGCAACACCTGTGTTATGTAGAGTATTCCACTAGGGTTCCTGGAATATCTCACTCAGGATAATAATCTCTCGCTTGGTGGTCTGTAACATTTAACCTTTTTAGAGGAGAGTCAGGTGCCGGCAAAACAGAGAACACTAAGAAGGTGATCCAATACCTTGCTCATGTCGCCGCACCGAGGTCGAGTAACAGTAAGGTAGTGTTGCTTTACTATGCACATTTGTACCAGCTATTCTTTTCTGCACTTCAGCGAGTTGGAAACACCAACGGCGACCCAGTCCACTCACGGCTTGTGGTGCGTGTGAACGTGAAACAGCGTTTATTACTGAAATATAAATCCTGTTTATTAAGTTTCTTAATCTTTATCCTGTTTTTTTTTCTGCTGTACCTAGCGTATTGGTACTCGTCAGCGTGAAATATTATATGTAGCGGTTTACCTTGCACACATAAAGCGAACTTCTACAGATTTTTGATTAGTGTTCTTACGTTTGGTTTGCAGTTAAAAAGGTTCACTGCTGGTGTCTTCACTATCACCACAGAGCAAGTAAACTGAATCCATTAGTTTGGCTTCATTCAGGGTCGTCTAGAAGAGCAGCTCCTGCAAGCGAATCCGATCTTAGAGGCTTTTGGTAACAGCAAAACGATCAAGAACGACAACTCATCTCGTTTCGTATGTTTACTACTTGTTTGTGTTTGTTGCTAGAAATTGCTATATTGCCACAATTGTCGTTCTATGACTAAAAGAAGGTGCAGAGCAGATATGCTTTCTAGTTAACATCGACTTTTACACAGCAACATGAATCTACTGGTACTCCTACATTCGGCGCTTTTCTGGTGTCTTTTTTCCATCCACGGTCACATTTTTATTTATTCTTCTCTAGTCCATCCCTGCAACAACCACTCACAACCACGGTGGCCAATCCATCCGTTTTATTTTTCGTTTTCGTTTTATAATTGCAGAATTTGCACAGTTTGCTCTATAACACTAAAAACTGCTTCACGAATTTGACTTGTTTATCTACTTTGAGCCAAAGCTCGCCCTTGTTATCTCTCACTTGAACAATTCACTTTTGCCGGAGAGAGGGTTTCTTGTGTATTAGTTACTCGTAACTGTGCATGATTGCTCAAACATTCTTCAGGGCAAATTCATCAGAATTCATTTCGATGCGGCTGGTGCTATCTCAGGAGCCAATATAGAGTTCTACCTTTTGGAAAAGTCTCGCATACTTCGGCAATCTGCTGACGAACGGTGTTTTCATATCTTTTATCAGCTTCTCAAAGGAGCCAGCGTCGATCAGCGGGGTGAGGGTCTCTTTTTTTCCTTCTAGAGCTTCCATGCACACTGCAAGGAATACTTTTTTGTCCAGGTGCACTCCTGCTTGAATCGAATCCGAAACAGTATAACTTCCTGTCTAATGGCGATATATGCATACCGGGAGTTGAGGATGCAGGCGAATTCGAGGAGACGATGCGGGCAATGAGAATTGTTGGATTCCAAGACGAAGAGATTGAAGGTCTCCTAAATATTACACCCACCGTAGTACCTTCCCACGTTTCGAATATCAATACATTTGATTTAAGCAATTCTACGGATCGTTTCCGCGGTTTTACTGTTTGGAAATCTCCAATTTTCCCACGAGGGCAAGAATTCGGATCAAGCCGTGCTCCAGAACGATGGAGTTGCTCATAAAATATGTTCGCTTTTGGGGCTTAACCTTGCTGAAATTATGAAAGCTTTCCTCAAGCCGAAGATCAAAGTGAGTCTCATAAGGCTTACTACTTTGACAATTACTCTCCTAATGGTGACTTCGTCATGTCGGTTTGTGTTTTGTCAACTTCGTTTTGCAGGTGGGTCGTGAGTATGTTCATCGTAGTCAGAACGAGGAGCAGGCAAGGTTTTCTGTGGGCGCCATTTCAAAAGCAAGCTACGAGCGATTGTTCAGGTGGGTGATAGAGTATTCTTTGTAATAAGTACTATTCTTGATGTGGCTTGCACTGTTGTACGTTGACAGATGGCTGGTGCAGCGCCTCAATAGATCTTTGGACCGCACGCGCCAGCATGCTGTTTCTTTCGTGGGAATTCTCGACATCGCTGGGTAATAAGCTTTGATTTTACCCCTTAGTGTTTCTTTGGAATCGTAATTGTTGACACATTTCAGATTCGAACGTTTTCATTCAAAGGATCCATGTTCTTCACACGCCAGCCTTGTGCCTGATAATCAACGCGTCCGGCGTAGTGAACAATAGCAAAGTCACTCCTGAATCAAGTCCTAGAATAAACATTTATGGGTTTACAAGTATTAAAAACTAACTTTGAGCGCATTTCCGGCACGAGATACTTAGAGTGATTGTGATGTTGGGCTGCAAGCCTCTCAACGAATCCAGCATCATTTCCTTGGGGGAAAAGACAGATGTCATCGAGAGTAGACAAAATACCCATTGGCTAAAATGCGAAATATTGACAGAAGAAAAAAATACCCAATTCAGCAGTGTTTGCACAAAGCACTTGCCACAAAACGCTCAACAACTAATTCACGGATCACGAGAAATGCAAAACCAACTTTTTCGATAAGATCAATAGTGGGCTTTAGGTTGAGACCAAAATCGATCATATCCCATTCAAGACCCTCATTAAGATATTCTTGTTGTTCCTTTTCAAACATGGTATTATTAAACAACTGCTGCAATTTCTCGTTGGTGTAGTTAATACAGAGCTGCTCAAAAGAGTTCATCTCGAAAATT